AGAAGAAAAATATTTTTTTTTCTAATTAATAGACAAAGGAAAGAGAAATTTACAGTCCAAGCTTGGATCTTAAGTAGCTTAATAATATTATTTCAATATTATATGCATATTTTCCAACTTATTAGTTTAGTAAATACTCGTATAATATAGAAACATTATTAAGCTACCTAAGATCCAAGCTTGGACCGTAAATGGCTCTTTCCTGTGTCTGTTGATTGTATATTTTAACGGTTTTTATATATATTAATTAGAAATTTTTATATTTTTAGAATTGCTATATATAGATGTTATGTCTTTTTTCTTTTTTAAGATTTACATCCAGGTACTGCGAATACTAAGTGGCGTAATTTACGAGATACTTACGTCAGGAAATTAAACGAACAAAAGAAGTATATTCCAAGTGGAAGCGGTGCTGAAGCTAAGGCTAAACCAGTATCATGGCCATATTTTGAATTGCTAGGATTTTTGAGACCAACAGTAACGCGTAGAAAGTTCGTAAATAATATTATTATATGATAGTCTTTAAGTAAGATGTTTAAATTAATTAATTTTCAGGACATTCAGTAACATACAGCTACCTGCATCTTGCAGTACTAATAGTGATAAACATTATATTGAGCAACAAAATGTTGATTATTCTAATCAACGTAGATCGATAACATCAGATTATTCATCAACACAACAAAAGAGAAATCCGTCTATAAAAAGAGAAAAATCTGAAATATTAAAAAATATACAGATACCGAATAGCAGCTGCAAGAATATAGATAAGACAAATGTTCAAATGTCAGGTATGAATGTTTTAACTTATAAAATCTATGAATATTGTATTCCTAATATTTTCTATACATATATTGCAATTACTTATGTATTTATGTGTGCATGTATGTATATATCTGCAAGCAGGAAAGAAACGACGTATAGATACGAACAAAGAGAATGATGACTTATTATTACTTCAGCAATCTGTTATGTCAGAAATAAGAGCGACAGATAAGTCTATAAACGTTACAAAATCTGATCCAGTGATAACTTTTTGTAATTATTTAACAACACAGCTTCGTACATTATCACAGGATGACTTTTCAAAATGTCAAAGAAAAATTATCATTTGTATTTGAACTTCAAGATAAGTGAGAAATATTCGTATATTTAATTATCAAAAATGGAAAAACCAAAGATGAGACTATATGAGTTTATTGTTTATGAGTATTGTTTATGTTCACACAAAGTTAGGAAGCGCTATTTTTTTATAATTTTATAATCACAATAAGTTTAAAAGAGGCAAACGTACAATTATATTACGTACAGTATACAATGTGGTTAATCTTATGTAACTATGTTCAAATGAACATAGCAAAACTGTACTAAGTTTATGTTTACTCACTTTTTTCATTAAGGCTTAGTTTCACAAGTGTCGGTTAACTTTTAATCTTAGATTAACTCATTCTTCGTCTCTTTTTAAGGGAGATGTTAGGAGACGAAAAGTGAGTTAATCTAAGGTTAAAAGTTAACCGACACTTGTGAAACTATAATAAGCTCAAAACATACAAAACCCATTTTAAGTTAAAGTTTATATAACTGAGTTCTTTATTTTAAAAGCTTCTGATTCATTGCAAAAATGTTGAATTACGACATTAAAAGCAAGAAATTATATTAAGTTTTTGCTGTATAATTTGCGTTTAAAGAAAACCAAAAGTTTTGTTAAAAATTCATACATAAATTTTATATTATATAAATTTCGTTTATATTATTATAAATTTTATATAATAAAATTTATTACATAACAAATGTTACATTAAGATATATAATTATGTAAGAAAAGGATTTAAAGATTTATAATAAATATTATTCAGAGAAAAAACATTTACATTTATTTCCTGTATGTGTACATTTTATTTTTATACAACTTATACTAAAAAGATATAATATTTTGTAATTGCTATAATTCTTAAAATATAACATTAAATTGCTTTATGTAGATGCATTTAACACATATGCATCTTGCCAAGGTACAGAGCCTACTTCTACAAAATATTGAGCAAATATATCTCTAATCTGTGCTGCTAATCGCGAATGTGTATTACTTCCCATTGAACGAATATTTTCAAAAGCAGTTGCATTTTCTTGTACAAAATTTTGACACGTATTAATACTATTTGCATAATATGGCGTTGATAATAAAAAATTATGAAGGCAGACAGTTGCTTTAACTATGCTTTCAATTGTTTTTAGTGATGCATTAATAGGTTTCCTATAAATCCTCCATTTACTAGCCATAATACCAAACGCATTTTCTACAACACGCCTGGCTCGACTCAGTCTTTTATTAAATATTTCTCTAATTCTGTTCAATCGATTACCGGGATATGGTCTAAGAGTATATTCATTAAGTTGGAAAGCGGCATCACCCACAAGTATATATGGAACAAGAATATTAGAATTTGGCAGCGAACATGGAGGTGGTAACTCCATTTGTCTATTTTCAAATCGCTGTCCCATAATAGATCCTTTAAAAATTCCTCCATCATGATGCCTTCCTTGGGCACCAATATCGACCATCAAAAACTCATAAGATGCTGATACTATTGCCATGAGAACAATGCTGTGTTGCCCTTTATAATTGTAAAAAGTCGACCCTGCATATGGTGGTGCCTGTAAAAAAATGTTTATTTTAAATATTGATAAAATTTATCTAATATAGATAAAAATATGCAAAAATTTTTATATGCCATACTTGTATTACAACATGCTTCCCATCGATAGCTCCTATACAATGCGGAAAGTTCCATTTTCTAGAAAAATCATCTGCTATCTCTTTCCATCGTTGTTGAGAAGGTTGAAATAAAACACGATGTTGCAAAGTCTCCCAAATAGCTTCACATGTCTCTTGAATTATACCAGAAACAGTAGATTTACCTAAACGATATGACATTGCGAGTGATGACATTAAATCACCAGATGCTAAATATCTGTAAATATAGAATAACATTATAAAAGTAAAAATATATATACAAATAAAAATATATTTTATTGACAGGATAAAATACATAATAATATATAATGTCAACATACCGCAAGGTTATTAACAACCGGATAGCAGGTGGAATTGGTTTTCGACAGTTTGTTTCTTGTTTTCGTATAATTGGTTCAATTAAATTAAGTAATTCATCGAAAGAATAATCAGGCATCATTCGTGTATAATTATAATACCAAACCACGTCCCGAAAACGCATTTCTTGCACCAATATTGAAGCTTCACCTCTAATTTCTCGTCCAAGAATACATGCTCTAATCCATACTCTTTTTCTCTTTATTTCTTATTTGATTTATTCTCTGTAATTGATTTATCTTCAATAACAAATTTAATAGTTTTCTTTTTTTTCTTAAAAGCATTGAAATATCCATTTTAAACGCTTTCAAAATCCTTTGTGTTTAAGTTATATTTTGATATTTGTATACGGGATCCGATTACTAATCGTATGTGCTGATCGTGCACAATTTGAACTGCTTTTAACGTACGACCAATCGGACGTCGGACGTCGGATGTCGTATGTCGGACGCCGGACTCAGTGTGAATCCTCCATAGTTAAAAATACGAAAATCGTAAGCGTCGCGTTACTCCGGCGCACAGTGCAGTGCCATTCCGCGTTGCGGGTGTTTGATGTAACTTTAATAGCACATATGTACGTCTGCAATTAGCCTATAGTATGTATACTTTTTAATTTTTACAGTTTCCAGAGTTTTACCACGTGGAGGTTGCAGTACGGTTTTAAACTCCTTATCGGGGTGCTTTTTTAACGTGAGTAGGGGACTCACGTTAAAAAAGCACTCTGATTTTACGGAAACGTAGTGAGAGGCGAAGGGACTCACGTTAAAAAA